AACCCGTCCAGAGAGTTGCTGTAGGTTTTCACCCGATGCCCATATGGTAGTGTCATCAGCAAACAAAACCACTTTCACTAAATCAGAAACCTTACATATATCATTAATGTATAGTATAAATAATTTAGGTCCCAAAACTGAACCCTGAGGCACTCCACATATAATATCCAGCTCACTCGATTGGTATTCACCCAACTTCACAAATTGACGCCTCTGTGTCAAATAACTTCTAATCCATTTCCGAGCCATTCCTCTGATCCCATATTTTTCTAACTTATCCATTAATAACTCATGATTGATTGTGTCAAATGCCTTTTTTAGGTCAATAAATATTCCCATCATGTGTTTCTTCTCATCCATAGCACTTGTAATGTCCTCCATCAGGTCGGTAATGGCCAGAGATGTCCTGTCAACAGTTTTATAGACGTCTCTCTTGTCATTGTGGCCTATGGAGATTTTATGTTGCAGTACCACAAGTGGCCACTGGGAAAACACTGGCTGAATGTTGAATCCAGCTCTAATAACACATTCACAGAAGACATGTCTCTTGTCCCTAACCTTCAAATACAGAGAAACGTTCCAGTGGCGCATTAACATCACAGACACAGTCATAAACACGTGGTTATGTTGTGGTTTGGTTGCTTTTAGTCACAAACACTACTCGCCCAAGCTTAGCAAACAGTAATCACATAGGACTTTGTTGGTATGTGAAGCTGATAAAGGTGATTTTTTTCCAACAAAATTCATGTTATGTGTAAAATGTTTTTTCTGCCTATATTCAGCTAGTTTCTGTTTGGTGGATCTGAAAGTTCAGCCAAATCCTACGGCCCCTCCCTAACACGTGGCCTTCCATCACCTCGACAGTTGATTGATCAGACAGTTATGGAGCTGCTGGAAGGTGTGGTTTGATTGAGTTAAGTTAGCTAATTGTGCTAAACATATGCTGGACTGACACTGGTACTACACAGAAGTGACATCCATTTTCTCACTGTCAATTTGTGTTTGACAGCATTTAAATGTCGCAGTGTTCTGTTATCGCTCAGACCCACGTTTATTTCACCTGACAAACACATTTCCCCCCCGTCTTTCTAACAGAAGTGTTCACAACACGTTCACCACAGCTGGTGGATCCAGCCAACTTCAGTCCATCCCCACAGTCAAAATCTACACTAACCTCTGGACTCCTGGTTTCATCAGCAGGTCCACATGAAGCCTAGGAAGCTACTTTGTCCTCTGCTGCCGCCTCCACTCTGGATGTTTTATCCTGAGCTGCTTCTTCAGGAGCACTGCAGACAACAATTCATGTCCTCTGAAGCCTGGCCAGGTCCGAGAAAGTAAGGGGAGAAGTCAGCCCTGGGAAGCAGAGTGGTTTTTCAGCAGCCTTCTCCTGGACTTAAAAAGCTTATAGTTATGGCTGGATCAGGTGACCCTGAGCCTTCCCTTAGTGATGCTGCTCTAGGCCTAGACTGCTGAGGGGGGGCATGATGCTCTGAGCTCCTTACTGCTCCTCTCCTCTCCCCTCCTCTCACTTTGCTGTGATTTGGCACTATACAAATAAAACTGAATTGAGAAAAGCCAAAAAGTAGAGTCACATTACCACTGCAAATGAAAAGGTTTATGCCTGTGTGGAGAGGCTGGCAGGAAAACAAAACATCCAGGAAAGGTGTCCAGAGAGCAGTGCTTTCTTTAAAACAAGCAGCATAGACTACTTGAACATGGCCTAAAGATCAGTTTGTCCCAAAGTGAGAAATCCCAGCTCGTGTTTGCACTAAGCAGCCTGGCTGGACCAGAGCTGGCAAACACACAGCCCGGACGCCATGTTTACCAAAAACTGTTTGTCCAGCTGCTGGATCGATGCCTCGAGGAAGCAGGGCGGCTGTTAATTAAAATCGTGATTTGTCCCTTTTTCCCTTGGATCAAACGAGTTGTACATAACTGTCAACACGGCCAGACAAACAGCGGGGATGCCAGTCTACATGTTTGCTAACCTGCACGGGGGAGTGGCGGGGTTTGGTTACTGGTGTGGTGTTTGAATACTCCACCAGGAGCCTTCACCTTCTGGGAGCCTCAGCATGTTGTAGGGCAGAGGCCTCCAACTTCTCGTCCAGAGTTACTCTGCTAAACGAACGCCAGCTGAGTGCCACTCATGTTTTATGTTGTATCAGCACTTTCAAACTGATCTCCAAACCAAACCAGCTGATTGTGTGACCAGTTTTCAGATATTTTGTACCAAAAACATCTTACAGGAAACATCAGTGTCAAACTCGACCTCCTTTCACAAATCAAATCGTTATGTGATTTGTGCATTCAGGTATAAAACCAATGTAAAGTTGGTTTGGGCTCCTTAAACAACAGCTGAGCCAGTTAACGTAGGGCTTTACTGCCACAGTCGATTTTAAAAAATCAGTCAGAATTCACTCAGATGTAAACATGCAGACATGATGCCCATTCTAGATTCGGTTACTTACGCTTTACAGGGACATCTTGAACTCAGATGTTCAGAAATGTTTGTGCAACCGTTAGTGATTGTAGAAAAACGCCCCTAAAACACTGGTATATCAAACCAATGCATCGAGAGCTGGCAGTGCATCCAGTGGTGCATAACAGCAGCTGCTACAGCTGCTAACAGTGAATGTGGCTCTGTGTTACTTAATTTACTGAAATGAAGCTTAAACATGCTGCAGGCCACAGTGCAGCCACTGAATCTATGGTGACCTACATCCTGTTTCTTCAGTGTGTTTCACTGAAATGAAGACTTTTACTTTTAATGCGACATCATCCAAACAAGTTGCTAACATCACTGAAAGGTGCACCAGATGTAAACTCACTTAACAGCAGCATTACTCTTCTTCTTCTTCTTCTAATAGGTTGTACACCGTGAGGCGTAATACTGCCCTCCACAGGAAAGGAACTCATTTGACTGACAGGTGATGGGCAAGTAATAATTTGGAGTTAGAGAGAGGCGGGACATCTGCATATGGTTTGGATTCCAGCCTGAGCAGGTTAAGACAGGGCTGTTTATTGGCATCTGGGCATTCCACTTACATTTGGATCACAGTTTCATGTTACCTGCACACAACAAAGTTACAAATTATACCCTAACAACACACGGCACTGATTAATAAAATGTAATGTTATGAGCTGGTCACTGGCTGAAAGGTGTGTTGGTTATGAGGCGCCTCCTCCTTCACTCACCTGGTGAGGACAGGTGTTTCACTCCTAAGCTCTCATAGGGATCAACTCGAAGGACAGAATCAGTCTCTTTAGAGGCCAGCAACCAAACCATACGGCTCGTCAGAGAATGTTGATATCAGAAATATTTTAACAGTCATACAATCATCCTGCTAATAGGGGCATCCGGTCAGAAAATGCTCACGAGTCATTATAGAAAGTTAAAACTAAATATATCTGTCACTGAATGTGAAGGATTGGAGATGATCTTTACAAGAAAAACAGAATCTTTGAGTTTTAAGTTGCAAACAACAAACATTTGGTATTTTTACTTGATAAATGACTTGATGAAATAATTAAATTACCCTGGTGGCCACGGTGTATGCAGCTCAGACGTGTGCTGAGATTGAGGCATAAATGTTACCTGGCCCGACCTGGTGACATCGCCGTCATGACCTTCAGAGAAATGTGACCAGGGTGTTTACTCAGGCGGGACGATGACACGTTCAGGTGTTGTCAGATTAACGGGAAGGAGCGTGCGTCTGAAAGGGGCTTCGGTCTACATAGGCAGGACGTTCACAGGAGAACGCTCGTTTCCCATTTCAAACTGATAGTTATTCAGTTGTTACAAGTCATAACCTTGACTGTGTGTTTACTAGTGTAACTATGATGACACTGGTTTATGTCGGAGGACTTGTTGTTTAGACTGGGCAGCTTCTGGGTGCAAAACAAACCACTCAGTGAAAGTTCCTTGAATAAAGATTGAAAACAACAATCATGTGAATCAAAATGGAGCCAGTCACGTGTTACTGCTCTCTTTGTGGTTTCTGGCCAAACCTACAGCTTAGAGCCACTGTTAGGATTTAAAAAGCTGTTAATGTGACACTTTAAAACCAGTTTAACCATTTCAGTATAATCAGTTTGAAACTGCTGCTTGTTTATAGTTCACTATAACCTGATCACTGCTGAAATAACAAGCTTTTCATTGGACTATTGTGTTTTAACAAGACTTTATTATAAAGACATGAATGTACATTTTCAAATTTCAATGGAATACTGACATTGCGTATCTAATTCACATTTTTATTTTCTTTCTGCTGCAAAGAACAAATAGCAAAAACTTTCACCTTATAAACAAGTGCTGCAATTCAATCTCCGAGACACAGCAGCCACAGGCCGGCCGGGGACTTTCTGAACAAGATTCGAGGTGGAGATCAGATAGAAATGAACATCAGCAACCTGAAAATCATAGCAGCGCCACATCTGGAAAAAAGTTGTAGAAAAGCTCACTTATGAGTTCTTTGAAGAATAATCCCCTCGGGCTGAAATTCATTGCTCACTGATACGATGCCAGTCTGCAGGTTCCACTGGAGGTTTACAGTTAAAGGCCTTCAGAAGTTGGAAATGGGTCAGTTTATGGGCTAGAAAAATAATCCTGGGCGATCTGAGGCCTCCTGCACCTCACAAATGTTCACAAATAGATTTTTTGGGAAGGTCTCTACTGTTAGGTGAAAGGAGCTTAAAAAAAGCCACCAACAACAAAAAGAATACTTTTTTAAAAGCACAGAAGAAGAGAACCACAGGAAGTCACAGCACTTGGAAACGCCATGAGGCCTGGTCTTTGTAGTCCAAACAGTCGGAGGCGTTGAAGTTGAGTTTCCAGGCCGAAGCCGCCGTCTGATCTTTGTAATCCAGACAGTCCGTGGAGTTGAAGGCGAGGCCGGGTGCGCTGTACGCCTGGTGGTGATGCGGTGGGTGGTGGTGATGGTGGTGGTGCCCTGGTGTCTGGCCGATATGGTGGTGAGGGTGTCCCGACATGGAGCTGCCTGTCATTGGGCTGAGCTGGTGTGGGTGGTGTGGGTGGTGATGGGAGTGCATGGGCGCCAGGTACGAGCCGCAGTCCACACCACCAAAGTAGGAGCCTGAGGCCGAGGCTGGGTAGCCCTGGCTGTACGCTGCTGCGCCGGGCTCCAGATGGACGACACCGGGGCGGTGACGGAGGTAGAGGTGCTGATCATACCGGGTCCGCTGAGGCCAGACGAGATGGAGGAGGAGGAAGACGAGGACGATGAAGAAGCGGAGGCGGAGGAGGAGGAACTGGACACTGCTGGCGGGGTGAACTGACCGCTGCTCTCTGAACCTGGGCTCTCTCTGGTTGGAGACGCCTTCTTCTTCATGGGCTTCACCTTGGTGTTGCCGCTGCTCTGCTGCTGCTGCCGACATTTGGCTCGTCTGTTCTTAAACCAGACCTGAGGAAGGAGGAGAGGTCAAAGGTCACCATCACACATGCTGGGGTCAGAAATCAACAAAGCTGTAAATCAGACCAGGAACTAAACATGTTCTGCTTCCCTCTCACGTGATCGCACTGAGGAACTCTGGCTCTGACCTTTGACCTCTACTGTCCAACTCTTTGTAAGGATCTACAGTTTGTGTGTCTGCTGAGTGACTCGTGCCAAATAAAGACGGTAACCTGTGAACCTGTGTGTTGCTTTGGCTGTGACTGGCGACTCTAAACTGCCCGTAGGAGTGTGTGTGGTTGTTTGTCTCGTTGTCAGCCCTGTGACAGACTGGCGACCTGTCCAGGGTGGACCCCGCCTCTCACCCAGTGTCAGCTGGGACTGGCTCCAGCCCCCCATGAACCTGTTCAGGAATAAGTGGTACAGATGATGGATGGGTAAGTAGGAAATGTGTTTTTGTTCAATCCTGTGCAGCAGCCTGACAACCTGTGGAAGCACAGTGCCACGACCTGCTGAGTGACCTCTCCTTAATGCAGTGATAGTTACATAATGAGTGTCACATGATGAAATGCGTGTTTGACTAAAGGATTATTACGTGTAAGAGCAAAGCAGGAGCTCAGAGGAACCGGGCTGCTTTAGAACCACAACCCTGACTAACAACGTCACAACAAAATTACTTTTAACTACCAAAACGAAGACGATAATTTTGGGAGTTCTGTGTTTTTTTAATGTCACAGATCTCGTTTTATTTTCCTTGAACAGTATTTAGTTTTCCAATATATTTGAAATATTTGTTGATGGTGAAACTTAATGGAAACAACTGCAGAACTTTGTTGTATAAAGGACAAAGTTGCACGTATTTTACTTCTTAAATATTCTGGACTCTTTTGAATAAACCACAAACTAATGTGTCAGCATCAGAACGAAAAAAAACAAAACACACAACTCCTTCATATTTTTATGCAGACATGACTACGTACTGAATAACTGGAAAATGTTTTCCTGTGTCACTTCTGGTTGTTTCAGTCTGAAGCAGTCGTTGGCCGTTAAAGAGGCACCAGTGGCCTGTGCTGCGGGCTGAATGCGGCCTGTCAGCAGCAGAAAGCAGAGACGCCGCAGCCATAATTGCAGCTCTGGGCCCGGTACACTAAAGCTCTCACAGCCTTTTCTATAAAAAGTCAGACCACATCCAAACCTGGTCCTTCCTCTGCCAGAGCCAAATCCTCCCCTTTGACTGGGGACTTGTCTCTACTTGATCAATAGTAACTGAAGGTTTTTACACACAAGCTGAAGCTAAGCACGCAGAGGCCTGAGGTGAGAGAGAGGCACCTAATCTCTAAAGCCAGAGCTCTGCTGCATTCAGTCCTTTGAGGACAAATCCAGCCGCTGTGTGTTGTGTACTAACTGTGCTAAGTTGTTCGATGCTACAGTAAAACATCAAACTGGACCCACTCACAGGGCCTTCGCTCGGCTTCCTGCTGTGGCTTCTGGCACCTTTTGCTTCACTATCTCAGTTCTTTTAACATCATGAAAAAATTCTGTCAAATGTTTAAACGCCCTCATGCAAATCAATTATTTGGCAAATGTCACCAGATTAACACTAAACTCTCCCAGATTCCTGGCATGCATTTAAAAGATTTCCAACAACTCTCCCCTTTTCTTAGTCTGCTTCCTTGCACACTGACTGAGTCTGACACATAACTGGCCGACTCTGACCTGCACTCTGGACTCCGGCAGGTTGATCTTCAGCGCCACCTCCTCCCTCATGAAGATGTCCGGGTAGCGCGTCTTGGCAAACAGAGACTCCAGGATGTCCAGCTGCGTCCGGGTGAACGTGGTGCGCTCCCGGCGCTGCTTCCGTGGGTTGGCTGCAAGAAACGAGGCCCAGGTTCATCAGCTAAACACCACGTCAACATCCCTCTAACGGCTACAAAGTGAACTCGGCGCCCGGAGATAATCTGTGCTGTATCAAAGTAGTTTTGACACCATAATTCTTGTCGTGAATTTACTGTGTTTCATATTTGTGATTATTTCCTTGGGGTGAACAGAAGTTCGTCCATCTGATCTAACTTTTGGACTTCATACAGAAAAGTCTTTGGACAGGCTTTTATCAACAAGACCAAACTGGATGATGGACCTGACGCATTTCAGAGTTGATGCTGTAGAAAAATTACAAAGTACAGCAAAAACAAACCTCCGTGTTACTTTACTAGTTTACTCTTAAATTAAAAACACAGAAGCACAATTTCTCCTCCGCGTCTGGTTTTAATTGGACTTATTTCAAGTTAAAAACTAAATAAAAATAATTCCGTCCAGACAGCAGGTAAACTTTATAGGAAACACTAAGGGCTCATCATAACGCACAGTGACCTGGGTCAGGCTGCGCCGCGCACACCACAGCGGACAAGTCCTCCTTTGTTAAATGAACCATGTAGGCCTATAAAAACATTTTCTAAATTAAGGACTATTATAAGAGCATTTTGTGAGCTATTCCACTGAATCTGTGTGTGGTCCTGATGAGGCCGTGTGGATCCGTACCGGGGTAGCCCACAGACGGGTGCAGCAGGTCCATGGCGGCTCCGCTCAGGCCCAGTCCGTTCATCCCGTACGGGGCCTGTTTGAGATAAGACATCATGCTAGAGGCTCGGAGGGGAGACCGGAGTCTGGGGGCAGAGGAGGCGCAGGTCTCCCGCTGTCCAGGTGTTCAGCTCGGCTCCTGGGGAGACAGGAGCGCGGTGAGTGTGCGCAAAAGACCAAGACAGAAACTGGCGGAAACACGCAGTTTGGCCATGAACACATAGTGCACAACTTAATAAAATGTACACGGTCCCTCAAGTAATGCTGCTAAAATGCTGAGGCCTGTTTTCCTGTCGAATCCTTCTAAACTTTAATTTCCAAAAACGTTTGGCAGCCCACGGCTCCAGCGGGCGGTCTGTGCGTGCGTGAGCTGGTGTAACGCCATTTTAACACGCTGCAGAAACACACAAAATGCTGATGCTGCTTCGGGTGAAAGACTTGTGCATTTAAAATTTCAGTTCCTAAAGTAGAGATTATGTGATTTGACCAGCCAGTGGATGTAAACGGCACCACACGGGAACACGAAGACCGACGAAGAAGAAAGATTTAGTCTTGTGGAAAGCTGGACAGCTGTATGACCACTGTCCCACATGTCCAGGCCGCAGACAAGCCAGAAGGACCAGGACGTGAACCTTCCTGTCGGGATCCCGGGAGGACGGACTCCCAGCCCGGGCCCGTCTCATCACAGGTGTCTCACGGGCCGGTTCTCCGTTTGGACACAAATGTTCGCTGAGGTTTCATTTGACTTTTTAACCAACGGATTCTACATTTTTAATCATTTCTTTTTGGTTTTAGACTAAATGTATTTATTTAGTAACACAGGACTGACGGGCACGTTTACCATGAACGTTTTTACCGTTTTTATTTTCCCACCTGGAACAAGCCTTGTAAAATTAAAATAAACTAAATAATGCACAACCGTCTTGGTAACATCCTTCACAAAATAAATCTAAGGTAAATATTTTAAGCTGACCATGTCAAATATTAAATGAAAGCAAATAAATGAGGTTAAATGTGAGGTTCGTGCACGCAGTGACGAGCGTCACAGTGTGCACGCTGTCTATTATATATAAAATATATAACAGCTGAAAAAGATATTAAATTAATATTAAAAGCCTTTAAGGCCTTTATCAGAGTTAATATCCTACAACTCGTTTGCCTTTTTCTCCACATCTCACACATTAGCTTTAATAAACGTCCTAAGACTAAGACCGTGCGTGTGTTTACGGGTTTCCAGGGGCTGACCCACCGGGGTCCTTTTAGCGGGGAAGTGCCCACATCCACAGCCTGTGGTGCTGAGAGGAGCCGCGGGCCTTGTGTCGGTCCCACCGAGGCCTTAGCGCCACAGTTAAACCTATTTCCATAGCCGCAGGACGGAGCCGGGCCACAATGTAAATGCTTCTAAACTGTGTGCAAATGAAGCGCATTACAATTTAGATTAGATCGACAATTAGCAGAGTCTCTTATCAGCCAGGTGACTCTGGACAAAATAAACCAGGTTCAATCAGCTTAATAATATACAAAACGTCACGATGCTTTATTTCTGCTTCTCCTCGATGAGCTGATTCCACATAAAGATGGAATTTTTAAATGCATCTAACATTTTTATTTTATTTTATTTAATATATAGGCCTGTTCTGAGATAGAGCCAATGCCTAAAGGCCTCCTCTGAATAAAGACAAGCTGCCATCAGACATGTCCTAAATATTTATTCCAGGAGACCAGGTGACATTCAGGGCACATCACCTGAGGGAACATGCAGCTTGAATGAAATCAAACAACACCAGGTAAGAGTCTCACCTGTTTCAGGCTCCTTTTTAAAAAAGGTTCCGTTAATTGCAAACCAGTGAGAATCAGCCTTTGAGAAATATCCACATGGAGGGAAGTTTATTCTGTTGTCTAGTAGAGCTGACGCAGGTTCAGCGGCTCCCCGCACAGTTCGCACCTGTGTCCACGTTAGAAAATTAACATTTCAACGCAGAAAAATGGAGAATAACTGCGGTGATTGACGGCTTCGCGCTGTTCTCTCCCGCCGCAGCTGACGGACGGCGGCTGATGGTGG